CTCTCATTCTCACCCTCTCAAATAAATAAATAAAATCTTAAAAAAAAAATACTGTCCCTTGTTTTTTTTTCTTTAAAAGAAAAAATGTCCTCGGGCGCCTGGGTGGCTCAGCTGGTTAAGCGACTGCCTTTGGCTCAGGTCGTGATCCTGGAGTCTCGGGATCGAGTCCCGCATCGGGCTCCCTGCTCGGCGGGGAGCCTGCTTCTCCCTCTGACCCTCCCCCCTCTCATGTACTCTCTCTCATTCTCACCCTCTCAAATAAATAAATAAAATCTTAAAAAAAAAATACTGTCCCTTGTTTTTTTTCTTTAAAAGAAAAAATGTCCTCGGGCGCCTGGGTGGCTCAGCTGGTTAAGCGACTGCCTTCGGCTCAGGTCGTGATCCTGGAGTCTCGGGATCGAGTCCCGCATCGGGTTCCCTGCTCGGCGGGGAGCCTGCTTCTCCCTCTGACCCTCCCCCCTCTCATGTACTCTCTCTCATTCTCACCCTCTCAAATAAATAAATAAATCTAAAAAAAAAAAACCAAAAAAACAGAAACAGAATTTCTCACAGAACTAGAACAAATAATCCTAAAATTTGTATGGAACCACAAAAGACCCCAAATAGCCAAACCCATCTTGAAAAAGAACAACAAAACTGAAGGTATCATAATCCCAGATGTCAAGGTATACTACAAAGATACAGTAATCAAAACAGTAGGGTACTAGCACAGAAATGGACACATACATCAACAGAACAGAATAGAAAGCCCAGAAATAAACCCACACTTTTATGGTCAATTAATCCACAACAAAAAAGGGAGGAATATACAACGGAAAAAAGACAGTCTGTTCAACAAATGGTGCTAAGAAAGCTAGACAGCTACATGCAAAAGAATAAAACTGGACTATTTTCTTATACCATACACAAAAATAAATTCAAATGGATTAAGGACCTAAATGTCAGACCTGAAACCATAAAATTCCTAGAAGAAGAAATAGGAAGCAATCTCTTTGACATCAGCTGTAGAAACATTTTTCTAGATATGTCTCCTTTGGCAAGAGAAACAAAAGCAAAATTAAACTACTGGGACCATATGATTTCATTGATATGTGAAATTTAAGAAATAAAACAAATGAGGGGTGCTGGGTGGCTCAGTCGTCTAAGCACCTGCCTTCGGCTTAGGTCATGATCCCAGGGTCCTGGGATCTAGCCCTGCATTGGGCTCCCTGCTCAGCGGGGAGTCTTCTTCTCCCCCTCCTTCCTGCTCATGCTCTCTCTCACTATCTCTGTCTCTCTCAAATAAATAAATACAATATTTAAAAAAAGAAACAAAACAAATGAACAAATTAAAAAAGGGAAAAAAAACCTCTTTTTAAAAAAAATTTTGTTTTATTATGTTATGTTAATCACCATACATTACATCATTAGTTTTTTTTTTTTTTAAGATTTTATTTATTTGACAGAGAGAGACACAGCGAGAGAGGGAACACAAGCAGGGGGAATGGGAGAGGGAGAAGCAGGCTTCCCGCCAAGCAGGGAGCCCGATGTGGGGCTCGATCCCAAGACCCTGAGATCATACATCATTAGTTTTTGATATATATTCATTGTTTGGGTATAACACCCAGTGCTCCATTCAATACGTGCCCTCTTTAATACCCATCACCAGGCTAACCCATCCCCCACCCCCTCCCCTCTAGAACCCTCAGTTTGTTTCTCAGAGTCCATAGTCTCTCATGGTTCATCTCTCCCTCTGATTTCCGCCCTTTATTTTTCCCTTCCTACTATCTTCTCTCTTTTTTTTTTTTTTTAACATATAATGTATTATTGTTTCAGGGGTACACGTCTGTGATTCATCAGTCTTACACAATTCACAGTGCTCACCATAGCACATACCCTCCCCAATGTCTATCACCCAGCCACCCCATCCCTCCCACCCCCCACCATTCCAGCAACCCTCAGTTTGTTTCCTGAGATTAAGAATTCCTCCTATCAGTGAGATCATATGATACATGTCTTTCTCTGATTGATTTATTTCGCTTAGCGTAATACCCTCTAGTTCCATCCATGTGGTTGCAAATGGCAAGATTTCGAGAAAACAGACTCTTAAATACAGAGAACAATCTGGTGGTTGCCAGAAGGGAAGTAGTGGGGGAGGGGTGAAACAGACAAAGGGGATTAAAAGTACACTTATTTTGATGAGCACTGAGTAATGTATAGAATTACTGAATCATTATATTGTATACCTAAAACTAATATAACACTGTATGCTAATTATACTTGAATTTTAAAAATGGTAAAAAAAAAAAAAAGATTAAAAAATTCAACATCTGATTGGCCCTAAAGAAGAAGGAACTCCTGTCACTTATAACAACATGGATGAACCTGGAGGACATTATGCTAAGTGAAATAAGGTGGACAGAGAAAGCCAAGATTGCATGATCTCTCTTACATGTGGAATCCAAAAGAGTGTAACTCATAGAACTAGTGAGTAGGATGGTGGCTACAAAGAGGGACATGGGAAGGGGTGGTCAAAGTATAAAAATTTTCAGTTATGGGGCGCCTGGGTGGCTCAGTTGGTTAAGCGACTGCCTTCGGCTCAGATCATGATCCTGGAGTCCCGGGATCGAGTCCCGCATCGGGCTCTCTGCTCGGCAGGGAGTCTGCTTCTCCCTCTGACCCTCCCCCCTCTCATGTGCTCTCTCATTCTCTCTCTCTCAAATAAATAAATAAAATCTTAAAAAAAAATTTTCAGTTATAAGATGAATAAGTTCAGGGGATCTAATGTATAATATGGTGACTACAGTTAATAGTACTGTACTGTGTACTTGACATTAGCTAAGAGAGTAGATCTCTAGATCTCACCACACACACACATACACACACACACACACACAACTGTGTGAGGGAATCACTGTATTAGCTTGATTGTGGTAATCATTTCACAATGTATATTATACCATAACATCATACATCTAAAACATATACAATTTTTGTCATTTAGACCTCAACAACGCTGGGGAAAAATGAATCTGTTTTCGATACCTTCATACTAAAAGATCTTTTTGAATTTATAACAAAACTAAAAACTATCATAATAAGAATTTTAAAAATTGAAGCAGATGTCTCTCCCCTCTCTCTAGGAGAGTAAGTCGGGCTGTTCAGAGCTCGAGCTCCACAGCAGTTAGCTGCCAGCTCAGCAACTGGTCAGAATGGACAGACTGCTTTCCATGCCAGGACAAAAAGGTAAGACATTCATGACCAGTTTGGGGGCATTTGATATTTGAAAGGTGTACTAGGCATTTAAATGGAGATAAACAGGTCTATATATTGAGAGGTCTGGGGAGAAATCAGCTGTAGAAATAGGTATTTGGAAGCCATGGGCACAGGGACGGTGCAACTTTTTCTGATTTGGTTTATAAGCCATTATTGGGTGAGTCTGCAAAAGATATGTATGCTGTGGCTTGTGTGCAGAGAGGTGGCCATTCAGACATGGGCCCACTGATCCCTGTGGCCTCTCTGGGTCCTGGTCAGTCTGCTGCCCTCCAGTGATGGTCATCGAGAGGGGCTAATGACCTGTGGGGACCTGAGATAAACCAGACGATGTTCCTGAGGATTCTACTTTCATGGTGAAAAGACGGACACACCCAATGAACAGGCATGAGTCTATTTTGTCCACCTACCTGGTTTTGAATAGTCCAAAATGGTCCCTAAAGCCAGTGGCAGGTCAAGGAAAGAGGGACTTTGGGAGAACTCTGCTCTGCTAGAGAGGAGTATTAAAATCCTGATCTTGGTCAGGATCACTGGCTCATGGTGATGATAAAAGGCAGAATAACTTCTATTCTGTGTTATTACTATTTTAAAATCTCTACAGAAAACACATGCCTTTACTGCATGCACCCAGGGTGGGATGGCTCCAGGCTCCCACCTCTCCCAGTTGGTAGACCACTGCCTAGACCATGTCTATTGGCACATTACTGTCAAGTCTAAGTGTTTAAGCTCTGATTCTTCAGTTTAGATTCTGGCTTTGCACCCTATATGCTGTGTCACTCTGGGTATATAGTTTATCCTCTCTATGCCTCTGATTCCTTATCTATAAATGGAAGTAATAGTACTTATAGCATAGAGTTATTATGAGCATTAAATGAGTAAGGTATGCAAAGTGTTTTCATGGCACCTGGCATACAATAAACGTTCAATAAATCTTAGCTGTTTTTATAATTACTATCTGTGTCCTTCTCTCCAACCAACTCCCACTGCCTGAAGCAAGACCTGATCTTCCCTCACCTGGGCTTCTGCAGAGCCGAACATGCTGGTGGTTCTCCTGCCTCCAGACCCACTCCTCAGTTAGATGCCGGGCTACTCTGTGAATGTTTGATGAGTTGTTCAAAATCAAATGGAATTCAAAATCATTACAGATGGAAACACAATTTGGACCTAGTTCATTCAGCTTCTAAGCCTGAAATTATTTATTCTGCCTCTCCTGTTTCTGAGATATGCCAAAGAATCCTAGACTGTACTGTGCAAAAATATCTAGCTCCCAAAATCTCTTCTTGCTTTGATATCCTATGTTAGTTTTCTGAATCTGCTCTTACAAATTGTCACAAACTGGGTTGCTTAAAACAACAGAAATGTATTCTCTCACAGTTCTAGAGGGCAGAAGTTTGGCAGGGCCACGCTCCCTCTGGAGGCTCTAGGGGAGAATCTGTTCTTGGCTTCTTCTGGCTTCTGGTGACCAACGGCAATCCTTGACTTATGGCCAATCTCTGGGCTCCAATCTCTGCCTCTGCAGCCACATTACCCCCTCCTCTTCTGTGTGTCTCCTTTGCGTGTCTGTGTTAAATCTCCCTCTGCCTTCCCCTTATAGGGACACTGTGATGACATTTAGGGCCTACCCAGATAATCCAGTGTAATCTCTTCATTTCAAAAACCTTAATAATATCTGCCAAGACCCTTTTCCCAAATAAGGTAACATTTACAACTTTCAAGGACTAGGACTTGATTTCTTTGCATGGCCATCATTTAACTTATTATACATCCAAAACTATGTATTTTTTTTCTCATGTGTTACAGTTTAGATAGCAGATAGCACACGTGAATGGCTTACTATTTAAATGGGAATTGAATTACTCCCTTCATGACTCTAAACACACGTGATCCTTAAAATCATTAAATTCTGTTAATTACTTAAGTGAAAGACCACCCCTAATTGCTTCTTATGAATATGTTTTTTTCCCCCTCTCAAAATCACCCAAACAAAGATGTGCAGTTCTGGAAAGAAACATTATCGACTAGCTAGAAAAGAAAATTATGTCTTAATGATACCAACACAGGGCACCACCACGGAGAAGTCCCTACGGGAGTATGTGCACCAACCTCTCTGCAGTGCAGTGTCTTCATTATTCGATAACAACCCAGAAAATGGGGAGTTGGTGGGAATGAACCTCGTGTCTGTACCAGCATTCCAATACAGAAACCACAAGAAGGATGATAATGGCATTTATAGTTACCACTTATTCAATAATTTCTATATACCAGGCACTGTGCTAATGCTTTAATAAATTGTCCTAGTTGACTTTCATAGCCAACTGTAAGTGATAGATAGATACCATTGTCCCTTTGGTTAGGTCACCCACAAAGAAAGAGGCAAGCCTAGACTTAACACTTGGTCAGTCTGATTCCAAAATGCCCATGTGCCTGACCACTTCACTCCCTACTACCTCCCCCCGAATTCTGTGGAGAGTCATAAGTGAGATTAGTGGCCATCGAATCCAATCCCCACTCAGTCACAAGTCCTTCTGGAGTGCCCAATATCTGGCTGCAAAAATGATGCTGATGTTGGTAACTATTATTAATGAGTGCACTCCAGGAACCAGGCCAAGTGCTGGCTTCTTTACATGTCTTATCACTAATCTTCACAAGACTTTCAGATCTCTCCTCCTACAGATGAGAAAACTGAGGGTTAGAGACATTAAGTAATTTTTTTTAAAGATTTTATTTATTTGAGAGAGAGAGAATGAGAGACAGAGAGCAGGAGAGGGAGGAGGGTCAGAAGGAGAAGCAGACCCCCCGCTGAGCAGGGAGCCCAATGTGGGACTCGATCCCGGGACTCCAGGATCATGACCTGAGCTGAAGACAGTCGCTTAACCAACTGAGCCACCCAGGTGCCTGAGACATTAAGTAATTTACTCAGTGACACACAGACAGTAAGTAGCAGAACTGGCATTCCAACCCAGCTTAAAGTGGGATTCAGAATAGTACTTAACCTCCTCAATTTGTGAGGATTGAATGAGATAAAGAATGTGAAGTGTCCAGCCATTAGTAAGCGCTCAATAAACGGTAGCTACCATCACCATCGTATTGGTAACTGCAGGTCTTAAAACTCTGGTGAACATTATGAAGGGTGAGAAGACTTGGCTCTATGCTGGTGTGCTGAGCATTCCTTTATGTACTGCATCTTGACAAGATGTGGAAAGAGAATGAAAATATCTTAATATTCCTGTATTGATCATTAATTATAATCTCTTCCCATTGAGTTTACAATCTTATTAACTGGGAGGCAGGAAAGGCAAATGGACAGGTTTGCTCTTCACCTTTTTTTGCAGACCTCTCTGTTTCTTTACTAATGAGCAGTTGCGGAGGCAGAAGTAGGCCAGAAGAGAGAGAGGGCGAAGCTGCATTGCTGTACACGCACCCACTGGAATCAGCTGGAAAAGACTCCACTGATAATGATGTGGACACCCACTTCTGTTCACTGAGCACCAATAATATGCCAGACACAGGGCTGGGTGCTTTCCCCACACATTCTCTCACTCAGTTCTCACAAAACCCTTTCAAAGTGAGGGGTCATCACATCCACTTTATATATTAGAAAACAGGAACTCAGAAAACGTAAGTGGCTCGCTCATGGTGAGTTGGTAAGTGACTCTGGGATCTGAACCCAGTCGGTCTAAATTCTCATGCTCATGCTCTTGCACCTACAGGACACAGGTGAAAGAATCATTAGTAACTGTAATTAGTGAGGTCATCTCGGTTGACCACCTCATTTTAACAGATTTGAAAACTAAGGCACAAAGTACCAGGCACTGATACTTTATACAGCAAGTAAGAAATAGACTCAGGAATAAACAAACAAAAAAACAAAAAGCAGAACCAGACCTATAAGTACAAAGAACAAATTGATGGTTGCCAGAGGGGTGGGGGTGGGGGAGATGGGCAAAATGGGTAAGGGAATGGGATATACAGGCTTCCAGTTATGGAATAAGTAGGCCACAAGGATGAAAAGTACAGCATAGGGATGTAGTCATTGGTATTGTAACAGCATTGTATGGTGATAGATGGTAGCTATGCTCGTGAACATATTATAAATAGAGAAGTTGAATCACTCTGTTGTACAACTGAAATTAATGTACTATTGTGCACCAACTATACAAAGAAAGAAAAAGAAAGAAAAGAAAAGAAATGAGAATTAGGCTAAGAACTCATTTTCCTTATTGCTCAAACCATTGCTTGCCTACTTCATTATGAACAATCTTAAAGGAGGAGATTGTGGGCTGATCCAAGGCAAAAGGCACCAGAAAATATGGCGCTGCAAATTCCCTTCTTGGACACTCTGCGTGGAGCTCTCCATACATTTCCTATTATTATCTATTTTATCTCCTCAAGTAGACTCTAAGCTAACTGAAGGTGGGACTAGAACCTCATATTTCTTCGAATAGCCTAGTGTTCAGCTTCTTCCTTCTACACTAGTGCCCGAAGCTGTATACCATATAGAAAGCAGTATCATGAAACCATAGAGCTCCCAGACTGGTATGCATTTTTATTCCTTCTGTCCTTCTTTGAACAAGTATTTGTTCATGTGCAGTCAAAACTGGACCGAGGGACTCAGACGATGTCTCTATCTCTTGGATGGACTCTTCCTACATAGTAGGCTAGATGACCACTTGATGCCCACAGTTCCCAGCAACTTCAGCAGAAAAAATTGTCTTTTCCAATAGTTCTGAAAGAAAATCTTCAGAGAGAATAATGATTGCCCTAAGGTTGAGTCATGAACCAATCCCTAAACCAATCATTGCAACTTGGCAGATAGGGTGCCCTGGTTGGCCCGGCCTAGCTCATATCCACAAATTCCCACGACTTAGGGGGTGAGATCATCCCCACCTAAACCATATGAGATATGTCTCAAGGAAAGAAAGGATGCCATGACCAGAAGAAATGGTACAGAGGGAAAGCAACAAACATCTTATAAAAGGGCATCCTGCATAGACCATAGATCAAGTGTCACATGTATGAAGCCAAATAAGACATGTCATCCTTTCGCCACTCCTCCCCCTATATGCAAACTGTCCTTAGACTAGTGAGAAAGGTAAATAAATAAGTAGACCAGGGATCACAACCTTATATGACAAGTGAGAGGAGAGAAGGAGGCACAGGGAACTCTAGAATATGTAGAGGAGGTGCGTTATGAATCATGAAAGATGAACAGGTACTAACTGGTTGAAGGTGGGGGGGAGAAGGTCCTTCAAGCAAGGTCTTTCATTTGATCTTTGGAGGCCCTATTCAATATTCCTGCTGGTGATTGTGCCATCTCTGGCTGAACACCACCATTTAGGAACACTTACCCCTCAAAAGACAGCTTTTTAGGCAGCTCTCAATCATTAGACAGTTAGTCCTTACGTTGAGCTGAGACCTGCCTGCGTAAAACTTGTTTGATTGATAGACAATGAATGTGTCTGGTTCAAAATCCGATTTAGTACCGATACCGGAGCCTCCTACAGCCAAACAAGTTTGGGGGAACCATGTGCAGTGGCGATGTCTGGGATCAAGCCAGCTGTCACAGTCCCACAGCTTGTCTAAGGCAAGCACAGTGTGGACAGGATTTCCAGTGTAAGGAGACAGGTGAGTAGCATTCCAGAGGGATAACAGCTGCACCCTGGCAGACTGAATGTGCAAAACAGTCACCCAGGAGCTGGTTAAAGCGCTGTCTCCTCAGCCCTTCCCCAGAAGTTGTCCTTCTGTATGTTTGGGATGGGGCTCGGGAGCCTGCATTTTAAGCCAACCCAGTAGCCCAAGTAATTTTGATGTGAGTTTGTAGGAATATCTGTTAATTCGTTTAGAAAAGGTCCAGTTCACTCATTCATCCATTCACTGAATAAACACCGGCTGGGCATGTATGTGCTACCTGCTGAGCAGTGTGATACCTGCTGGGGACCCCGAGATGAAAAGATGAAGTGCCTGACCTCAAGGTACTCCTTGTCTCTTTGGCAGAGAGACCTACGAGGAGTCGGTGGCAATACCGTGGGACAGCCAGCGTAATGGGCATAGTTAGGCCCATGGTCCAATGGCCCTCTCTAGCAGGGGATGCCCAAATCTGTGCTGGGGAGTCAGAACAGGTTTGAAGATGGCACTTGAGCGGAGACTTAGGAAGTAGCAATGAATTTGCTAGGAGAAAGGATGTGCAAACACACACAGGGATTTAAGGACTGGCAATAGGTGTTGGGAAGAGAGGCAGGGGATGGGTCCAGTAGAGTACTGGAGACCAGACTGTGGCATTTGGAAGAATGGGAATGGGAGCCACAGAACAATGTAGGGCAAGGGGATGATGTGGCCAAGCTGACATTTAGAAAGATCACAGGAGCTGCCATGTGGAGGAATTTTAGAGGGGAGCCTACTGCAGGGCCTGAGCTGGGGGTGGGGCTCCAGGTGGGAGACAGAAAGGCTGGAAGGAGGGCAGAGGCAGTGAGGATGGAGAGATGATCATGGAGAGGGGTGAGGGGCTGTTTCAGAAGTGGGATGGATTGGGCGACTCTGGATGCAGGTCACGGGGAGAGGGTGGAATCTGGGAGGCTCTGGAAGCATCCACAGCCCCTCCTCTCTCAGATCGCTGCCTGAAACGCCACCTTGTGTGTAACGGAGACAAGGATTGTCTTGATGGCTCTGACGAGGATGACTGTGAAGATGTCAGGGTCCCTGAAGATGACTGCAGCCAATATGACCCCATTCCAGGGTCAGAGAATGCAGCCTTGGGGTGAGTCCTGCCTTTGGGCTGTTTGGGAGCAGGGAATGGTTGCTCTTCAATCACGAGTATTATTTTGAGGACAGAAGAGGGTCTTTGTGCAGTGCGTCCAGTGAGGCAGCTCTCACTGTCCCCCTGAGGTGGCATATTGGTCCACTCAGGCTACTATGACAAAATGCCACACACTGGGTGGCTTATAAGCAACAGAAATTTATTTCTCATAGTTCTAGAGGCTGGAAGTCTGAGGTCAAGGTGTTGGTGGGGTTGGCTTCTTCTGAGGCCATTCTGCTTGGCTTGTCAATGGCCTTCCTTCTCTGTATGTCTGGGTCCTAATCGCTTTTCGTTTTTTAAAGATTTTATTTATTTGAGAGGGAGAGAGCAAGAGAGAGCAGGGGGAGGAGCAGAGGGAGAGAGAGAGAGAGAGAATCTCAAGCATATTCCTCTCTGAGCACGGAGCCCCGTGTGGGGCTCCTTCTCATGACCCTGAAATCATGACCTGAGCTGAAATCAAGAGTCAGATGCTTAACTGACTGAGCCACCCAAGCGCCCTTCTCCTTCTCCTCCTCCTCCTTCAAGATTTATTTATTTTAGAGAGAGAGAGCGTGGGGGGACGCTTAACCAAATAAACCACCCAAGTGCCCCTGCTCCTCCTCCTCTTCTTCTTCTTAAGATTTATTTATTTTAGAGAGAGAGAGAGAGTGTGCGAGCACGGATAGGGCAGAAGAAGATGGAGAATCCTTAAACAGACTCCCTGTTGAGGGTGGAGCCCAACATGGGGGCTCAATCCCAGGACCCCGAGATCATGACCTCAACCAAAATCCAGAGTCAGCTGCTTAATTCACTGAGCCACCCAGGCACCCCTAATCTCTTCTTATGAGGACACCAGTCATATTGGGTTAGGGCCCACTCTAATGGCCCCATTTTAACTCAATTACCTACATAAAGATCCTCTCACCAAAAAACAGTCAAATTCTGAGGTTTTGGGGTCCAGGACTTCAACATCTAAATGTTTATTTAGGGGGACACAATTCAGCCCCTAATACTAATAAAAGGGGATTTTTTTGACTTTGAAAGTGACTGTGGGATAAACAGAGTAGAAGCATGAAATAGTGAGGTGTTAACTTGAGAAAAAGAATTCCCTCCTTACTGGCAAAAAGACCGCAGACCATGACCTTGCTCTCATGTGATTCAAAGGAGCATTTAAATATACTTCCTGAGTGTGCTTTGCCCAAACTGGACAGCAGGTTGGCCAGACCTCCACTCCCAATAGCTGACACTTTGACGGTTTTTCATTCTGCTTAAGATCTCAGAAGTCTTTTTCCTGGTGTCTTTTTTTTTTTTTAATTTAAGCATGTTCCAGTTTTTAAATTTTTATTTATTGCTATAGAAGTAATACCTGTTTGAGGCAAAAACCAAAAGTCTTCCTTCGCCCTCCCCAACCTGCACTCTACCCAGTCACCCCCTCTCACTTCCCTCCCTGGAACTGACCCCTGTCAACAGTTTGGTGTTTTCAGATCATGTAAACAATGCACTGACAATATACATCATATGGAAGATATGCCTATATGTATTGTGCAGGATAGACATAAGTATATTTTACATAAATGTGATTGTATCTAACTTGCTTTTTTTTTTCTTAATAATATATTTTGAAGATTTCCCCCCACATTTTCTATTATTTTTCTAAGCAACATGGTATTCTATAACAGGGGTCAGCAAACTATGGCCTAAAGGTCAAATTCAGTCTGTTGCCTGTTTTTGTCATTAAAGTTTTATTGAGATGCAGCTTTCACCCTGCAGTGATGGGAGTTGAGTATTTGCAACAAAGACCTATGGCCTGTAAAGCCTAACATATTTAATATCTGGCCCTTTATAAAAAAAAAAGTTGCTGATTCTTCTCCCATAGTATAACTACATGAAAATTTATTTGACTACTTCCTATTGAAAGATAGATGTTCCCATTTTTTTCCTCTTATAAACAATGCTACCATGAACATCCTTGCGCATTATCTTTGTACATGTGAGTATTTCTGCATAGATTTCCAAAAAGTGGAATTTCTCTATATCTTTTCATTTTCACTGGGCCTTCTGCAATCAGCTTTTCTAAAGATACACAGGCTTAGTAACCTTTTATGCTTAGAGGTTATAGTATAATCTTAGGACTAATTATTCCTTTGAGTTTTTGTCTGGCCCACCAGAGAGCCTATATTTATAAGCCAAAGGCAGAAACATGTTCAACGGGCAAAAAGACAGAAAGGTAAGGGGCAAAATAAAGGGAAGGAACCCAGATTTTAGTGTCAAAAAATTTAGCTGTGACTATAGGCAAATTACCTAATTTTTCTGAGCTTCAATTTCTGCATTTGCAAGATTGTCAAGAGGTTGAAAGTTAATGTATGCTAAATGTCTGGTAGAGTGTGTATTCGATTCACCATAGCTATTACTACATCACTTCCATTAATATGAAGAAAGAGATGGAGAGAAGAGGTGAAGAAGGAAGGTAACATACCTTGAATTTCTACTATGTGCCAGGTACTCTATAATTATCCATTTATTCCTTCAAGGCAGGTTTTAGTCATAGTTAACCCCATGCTCATCTTCTGCCTTTGTGCCTTTTCATGGAGGGAATGAGCAAATATGACAAATGCTATGCCAAAGGTAATCACTGAATGCCATGTGAATACAGAGGAAGGAACAACTATCTGTCCAGGATAATCAAAGAAGGTTACATAGAGGGGGCAATGTTTGAGTTGGGTTTTAAAGGCTGAATAGGAGTTTGAGAGGCAGAGACAAGCAATCATTTTATTATCTATACCATAAGTCCCTTTGATTGTTAGTCCTTGGATCTCTTAGCCAAGTCAAAATGCTTTTGTTTAGTTAACCTTCTCTTTTTTAGAAAATTAAAGCTGTATTTCACCTGTGTAACACTGTTTGTGCCTAAATATGGTTCAACCATCTATAACCTAAAATGCAGTTCCTGGGCAGATGGATGAGAAATGCCCCAGAGCAGGAAGCAAGGGAAAGTATTTCTGGAAGGGTACTGGGCTAGGGGAGAGGAAGTATCATTTTTGGAGTGCCCAATATGTGCTACAACTTTACTTCCATTTTACTTTAATACTCTCATTTAGATGTCACAAAAACCATGAGAAGTAGTTTTATTATGTCCATTCTTCAAATGAGGAAAACAAGCTTCAGAACGCATCTAGAATATGTCCAGATTCACACAGCTAGTACATGACAGAGCTAGAAATTAAACAGGAGTCTCCATGATTTCCAAATTGCACCCTCTGACATTCCATGCCTCCTTGGAGATAATGGCCTTTCTGAGGATTAGAGTCTCAACTTAGCACTGAGAGTCAATATGTCAAATCTATTTTTTACCCGCAGAGCCTTTTTCTGAAACAGTACAAACAAAAACAACAACAGTAATGTTTATTCAGTACTTAATATATGCTAAGTACTTTCTGGTTCCTTTCCATGTTGTAAGGCATTTAGCTCTCTGAGGGCAGTAGTATTAACTGCTTTTTACAAATGACTAAACTGAGGCACAGAGAGGTGAAATGATTTGCCTAGCTGTGTGGCAGAGCTGGGAAATGGGCTCTGTGCTTGAAGTTTTGATAATTGTGCATATTCCTTTGTAATTCACACAACAAATTTTTAGGAGTGCCTTCTCTATGGAAGCACTGTTCTAGGTGCTGATGGAGCTATCAAAGGGAATCTGGGGGCCTGGCTGAGCCCACTCAGGTTTCCAATGTTACCCAAAGCGGAGTTTAAGGTACTTTGAGGAACCCTAGGGGTTCACAGAACACAGTTCTAGAAGCTGCTGCTCGGCCCAGCAATAACATCTTCCAGAGGATGCTACTTTTGCCTTTCCAGTGCTCTCTCCCAGAAGGTGCCTGCCTTTTTGATTTAGGTACAATATCCTGACCCAGGAAGAAACTCAGAGTGTGTACGATGCCAGGTATTATGGGGGCCAATGTGAGACAGTATACAATGGGGAATGGAGGGAGCTTCGCTATGACCCCACCTGTGAGCATCTCTACTACGGAGAGGATGAGAAGTACTTCCGGAAACCCTACAACTTCCTCAAGTACCACTTTGAGGTAAGTCTGCACAGGGCGCTCATAGGCCACTGTAGGGTGGGGACGGGGAGAGAGAGAGTTCTGTTCCTGGAGATGGACTCCTAGCTTTGGAAGATTCTATTTCCTGTAGGGCTTGCTGGTGGCTGAAGATCCCTTTACATCTGCCCCTACACATGCTTGGTGCTGAAGGGCACTGACAGGCAAGGGCAGGGCCAACGAGAGGCAGAACAGAGGTGTGACCATCCACCTGCCACATCTTGGCTCCATTCCATAATCAATGAAAACAGATTCAAGGTCCAGTTCTCTGGGCTGCTAGTCAGAAGACCTAGTTCAAGTCGTGCTCTGTTAGACTGTAAGTATTTGAGACCTTGAGCAGCTCCCTGCCCCTCCCTGGGCCCAGCTTCCCAGCATGTAAATTGGGGGTTAGGAGAGGAGGTAGCTGGGCAGTTTTCTGAGCCCAAGGCCCCTGTTTCACCAAGAGCAGCTGCCTACTGATCATCTCCTTTCTTGCTTTGTTTCAAAGTTCCAGTATAGTTAGCGCACAGTGTTATATTAGTTTCAGGTGTACAAAAACACCTCCACACATCACCCTGTGCTCATTGTAAGTGTACTCTTAATTCTCTTCACCTGTTTCACCCATCCTCCCCCCGCCCCCACCTCCCCTCTGGCAACCACCTGCTTGTTCTCTGTATTTAAGAATCTTTTTTGGTTTGTCTCTTTCTTCCTCTGTGCATTTGTTCTGTTTCTTAAGTTCCACATTATGAGCGAAATCACATGGTGTTTGTCTTTTTTCTGATAACTTTCCTTATTTGTCTTTTCTCTGATAACTTTCCTATCTTGGTTTTCCATATGGGATTTTGTTTACAGAAAGGGTTCTGCTGTTGAGAAGCGCTTGCAAAATGCTGTGGATCCCTAAATTCTCTCCATCTCTAAAATTCTGTGCTCTCCTGGGCACTCAGAGCCCCCCCATGGCTCATGGCCAGTTCTAGAGCCTACTCCCGACCACTCCTTTCTGTAACCCTCCCCCACTCTGGGTGAGATGTCCACACTGACAGCTTCACCGGATGCTCACCGTGCACCAGATCACATACTTCCACACAAATCTTCTCATTTAATCCTCACAACAACACAATGAGGTAGATATTATCACTGCCCCATTTTAGATAGGAAAAAGACCGAGAGACTCAGAGGGATAAAGTGTCAGGCCCAAAGGTCTACTGCAGTAGGTGGCAGAGACAAGATTCAAACCCAGATCTAGCTCAACGGAGCCCCGGCTCTATGTCATTTAGAAGGGAAGACAAATTATACACATTATATCCATATAGTCATATGCATTCTATCTTTACAGAGAGATGGTAGGATCCAAGGATTCTGAACAATTATTAGTCACATCCCCCCTCCCTCAACTTTCTCAAGAGAAAAATACTGACAGTAGGACAAGGCCAGGCTTATGGTTTCCGCCCTCTCCCCCCCCCTGCTTCCACCGCTGCTATCAGCCTCTGGTAAGCCGAGCTGGAAGACAAAGACGACGCCGTTTCCCTAACCCTGAGGATGGTCTGGCGCTTACGTGTCCAGCAAGACAGACTAGGCTATGCTGTGACAACAAAGGATTCTGAAATCTCAGTGCTTTAAAGCAACAATGCTCTATGCTATGCATCCATCCCAAGGTGGAAGGAGCACTCATCATCACACACTCGGGACCCAAACGAATGGAGGCTCCATCTCAACACATGCTCTCGTGATTGCCGAGCGAACCACTCATGTGCTCTTAAGCCTTGTTCTCTCAGCTCAGACCAGGCACAAGACCATGCCTCCATTCAAGCTGGCAGAGACACGCAACCCTACCATGTGCCTGGAATGAAATAACCTTGCATTTGTGGGCAGCATGAGAGCATACCTCTGCCTAGAGCTCCCACCACTCGTTCGGCTTCCTTGCCCCTTTCCTCCCAGATCCACACCCAGACGTGGCTTTCTGGATGTCTCCATTGCAGAGACAGGTGACCTTCTCTACAGGAAAGCTAAGTCAGCTGGAAAAAAAATCCGTACTCGGAACAATACAGCATTTTATCAGAATCATGAGTGTGTGTATTTAAATAAATATTTTAACACTGCCACTAAGCAACAAATAAACTAACTGCTATATTTTCGGTATTTTAGTGAGTGAGCATTAGTCTGATGCCTGGAGTAGCCTTTTAAAATAATTATTGATAAGAATCTGCTTTGTGATATTTTACAGAGCAAAGATTTAAATATTAAGCACAAATTGGAATATAACTCTGTGTGCACAAAGCTAACATCTGTTTGCTTCTTTTAAGGCCCTGGCAGATACTAGACTCTCCTCAGAGTTGTACGATGATGTACGTGACCTTCTTTCTAAAGTAAAAAATGACAAGTCTGTGTCGGCCGGAGTAACTGTTGGTGTGGGCCCTATAAGAAGCCCTGTAACACTGGATGTGGGTGTATCCGGGTCACGAGACTCTTCGTTCTTGAATGAGTTAAACAAGTATAATAAGAAGGTATTAAACATAATGCCTGTGTCAAACAGTATTCCATAATCTTAAACTGAACATGCATTACCTTAATTGCATTAAAAAGTACAGTAGTAATTGAACCTGCATTTGCTTGTGTAATTGGAAATGTCTGATCAGTGGTAATCATGTTTGTTTTTCTTACTACGCTTTTGCACACAGAATCATCACAAAGGGAATAAAATTGAATGATAAGAATAGAACTCTTATCGCCTCACCCCATTCTTTTTCATGGTTACCTGGAGCAAACAGGGAAATACTTAGAATAGTAATGTCTTAAAGATAAAGCCAGGCCCTGTAAACTAGGTTGGGAAGAATTCGAAAGCGAGCCTTGCTTTTCGGAATAGATTGGAGGACTGGTGTGCTCTGTCAATCATTCATTGATTCATCAAACATTCACCACTAACTTCCTATTAACCTGAGCAACCAGGTAATGCTCCTTTGAGGAAGGGACATCCACCTAAACTGGGGTCTAAAGACTAGTACAGGTTGTCCCGATGAAGGGAGGTGGGAGTCAGCCAAGGGTATTCTGGGCCTGGGAAACAGCAGTATGTAAAGTCCTGGGGATGACAGATGGCCTCACACTAATGTGGGATTGCAAGGACTTCAACCAGCTGACGCACAGGGTGGGAAGGGCACATAGGGAGTGATGAGGATGGAGAAATCGTCAGGGGCCAGAAATATTTACTGAATTGATTCAAAGTTTACCAAAATGCCTCAACAATATTGATGCCAGCACTGTGGGTTTAGCTGGGGCCCAAAAAATTATTCTGGATGATGAAAATACAGTTATGAAAATTAACTTATTCAACAAATACAAATTTCCATTCTGGAGCTTTGCCACCAAGTTAGCTATTGCTCTAAAGGGAAAGAATTGTTCTGAGATCTGGCTATTACATGGTCATGTGGACTTTTCTCAAAGCAGATGGTCTTTTCAAAATTTCACTATCACTTTGGATCAAGGTTTACTTGGAAGTAATGCCCATACACAATCCTCTTCCTCTTAATTTTTTTTTTTTTTTGAGAAGGAGAGCACAAGAGAGGCTGAGCAAGGAAGGGGCAGAGGGAGAGAGAGAGAATCCTAAGTGGGCTCCATGTCCAGCACGGAGCCCAATGTGGGGCTCGATCTCACAACCTTGAGACCATGACCTGAGCCAAAACCAAGAGTCGAATGCTTAACAGACTAAGCCACCCAGGCACCCCAATCCCATTCCTCTTGAGCCAATCCAAAATTATCCCAGTTTTGTCTCTTTTTTATTATCTCAGGAGCTTGCTTTTCTTTATTCCTTAATAGTACAAGATTACCACTAGAATGTAAGCTCCATGATGGCAGGGGCCTATCTCATTCAAGATTACGTCCTCTGCTCCTGGCATAATGCAAGTGACTACAGGCTCTTACAGATACAGTTCAGTAAGTTACATCAATAGGTAAGGCCGGCACTTCATGTCATCAAAGATATTCTTAAGCATAATTGTGAGTGGATATGGAATACTTGTGCAGGAGGTTGCATCATGCAGTGTTGTAATTAGAGCAGAGTAATTAGTGGAAGTGACAATGGACTGGGGGCAGAACAGAGTGAGCAACATCATGAAGCACATTGCAGGAACCAACCCAGATGAGAGTGGAGGAGAAGAGGACCTGAACAGGGGCAGTGGGAACAGAGAGGCAGGCATGAGAGAAGCAGCCAGGCACACACTGGTGTTTCATATATGCCTGTAAAATAGAATAATACTAACGTATTTATGCTCATGTGTTTACATGTAAATATATATTTCCCACAGCTACTAAATGCTACCTTTCGCATTATGTCATGTAGTAACATGTGTACTCTGTTTCTTCTCATCCCTTATTCCATGGTGGTGGTTGCTGGCAGAAATATAATTTCCTGAGAATTTTCACAAAGGTGCAGACTGCTCATTTTAAGATGAGGAGGGACAATATTGTGCTGGATGAAGGCATGCTGCAAACATTAATGGAGCTCCCAGAGCAGTACAATTACGGCATGTATGCCAAGTTCATCAATAACTATGGCACTCATTACATAACGTCTGGATCAATGGGTGGCGTTTATGAATATATCCTGGTGCTTGACAGAGAAAAAATGGAATCACTTGGTAAGTAGGACAGAAGCTTTGCATACATAGTGGCCAATGCATATGCCAGGATATGGTTTGCAGTTTTCTGAGCACTGACTATGAGCCATGTGTGATCTCATGGGGGACAACCGTGTAAGGTAACATACCTAATACTTGTGTAGGAGGTTGCATAGGGCAGTGCTGTAATTAGAGCAGGGAGACATGTGGAGGTGATAATGGACTGGGGGTGGAACAGGGGGAGGAGCACCAAGAAGTATGTTGTAGAAAGCACTGCAGTTCAGAGTATTATTATTTACAGGGAACTGAGGTCCAGAAGGGTGAAATGACGTGCTAGGAAGCATCACAAACAGGATTTAAACTCAGGCTTGTCTGGCTGCCCCAAACTATGTTTTCTATTACACTATAGTTACCTCTTTGATAATAAACAGTATTTGGGATTTTGTTATTTAAACTGTTAAAACTTATAAGTATAGATTCTTAGTTAATGGAACTGCCATATAATCAGTCCATGATGCTAGAAACCTGCAGTCATCCAAGATTCCTCCTCCTTTACTCTGTAGATCTCAAAGAACCATCAGTTCTGCCTCTGGAACAGCCCTCACTCCACCCCTCTCCTCCACCTTCACTCCCACAGTGGTAGGCTGTGCAGGAGTGGGTTCCCACCTGTCACTTATCACTGCATTGGCTCCAAAATCTAGGGGAAGGCTCACCTCTGCAATCCATTCTCAACAACTGCTCCCAGAATGATCTTTCTGCTTTACTGATACAGTGATATCACTTCTTTGTCTAAAATCCTGAATGGTTAAACTCCTTAGCAGGGCATCAAGAGCCTTCATGGTTTCACTCAGAATGGTTAGAACAGTGATTCTCGAAGTGTGGATTTTAACTGCAGCATCAGCATCACCTGGGAACCTGTTAGAAATGTAAATTCTCAGGATCCCATCCCAAACCTACTAAATCAGAAACTGGTAAGATGACCCAGTGGTCTGTGTTTTGATCAGTCCTCCAGGTGATTCTGATGCTCACTATAGTTTGAGAATGACTGACCTAGTCAATGAGTGAGTAGAAGGCTGAGAAATCTATCCCTACTTCAAAGCTAAATTAAAATTCCCAGTTTCAAGAAGTTTCCCTGACTGCACCAGCCCATGCTGTCTGTTTCTTTCCTTCAGCACATTCATGTAAATTCCACACTCTTTAATCTTCAAAAGATAATTTTCCAAATTGTAATATTTTTCTCATCTAGATAGCAAGATCTTTGAAAGCAAGAATTATGTCCGACACTTCTTTATCTCTTTAGCACTCAGCACAGCATTAAGGAAGTAGTGAATGTATAAAACAAGACATGGAGTTTGAAAGGGGGCATTAATTTAGATTCCTGATTAGGGTCATTCATTAATTCATCCATCTATCCATGTATTCATTCTTTTATAATTCAAATATCTCTTGACTCTCTATTATGTATTTGTGCTAGAGATACAATGGTGAGCAAATCTAAATATGGTCTCCACCCTCCTGCAGCAGAGTACTTCCTTCCTAATAGCAGGTCTTAAAATCAATGTACGGATCACAAACAACATCTTAACAACAACAACAAAGGAGAGACTAGAGAATATCATAGAGGAGTACAGGTAGTGAATATAAGTTATTGCTTCAAGAAATTTTTTCCAGTTATACACGTATGGAGTCATGATACAAAACAAACAGTTTATGATAGGTCAATATAAAAAAGGAGTTTGAAAAACTTAATTCAAGTGGCTTTTAAAAGAATCATTCAAAAATGTAAGGAAGGAAACATGGTTATTAACATTTGTTGAGGACCTACTAGGTTCCAGGTGCTGTTGCATACATTCTCATTTTGTTTTCTTGACAACACTTGGAGGTTGGTATTATCCCAGTTTTAGCCCATAAATGCTGAGGCTCCTCAGGGAGGTTAATTACTTTGCCCAGAGCTGCAGGAAGCTGGCGTCAGAGCCCTGGACCTATGGTCTTTCCACCATGTGGTCCTGGGTAGAGCCTTTCATTTGGGCTCTGTCTTTGATGTTGGATTACTAATTAATTGTCTGGGGTGTCTCATGGCCCCTCCTCTTTAAAATCTGTGAGGCAGAAATGGGCTTCCAATGTGGTTAATATTCAAAAGGAGCCTACCAACAAATTGTCCCAGGGATAATTACCTCAGCTCTGTTTATAGAAAACCATATGTCGATAATAGCACAATTTGCTATTTGTGAAGAGCTGATTTTCTATAAATCCGGAAAGTTAGTGTTGCTTTTCTATAAATATGGAAATGTGCTAATCATCACCTCATCTGCTGGAGACCGCTAATAAATCAGAATTCCATTTACATATTAACCTACAAAGAACAAAAATATCTACCTTCTTTCCCTTTGACAAATAGAATCATGCACACCCTTCTCTCCATATTTGATATTTGTCTAGTTTCTTCTTTGTCTCTGTCATCCTCCATCTCTCTCTTTCTCTTTGGGTGCCTTTCTTTCTCTCTCTCTCTCTCTTTCCTCTTTGTTATGGTCTTTTTCTGTGTATCTTTGATCCATATCAAGTAATAATATTTATATTCTATAAAATGCTTGTTCCTAAGAAACACCCCGTGTGGTGTACGTTCATGTCCTCAAAGAGACGAGCTTGGTATAGAACGATTTAAGTGAACACACTGGCTGGTTTGCTCTGGAGGAATCTTTTGTCCTTGGGTTTGCCTCAGATCCTCTCTGGGTTCACCCCAGAGGATGCACAAGACTGTTTTCTTCTCATGTATCCTTTAGATAAAATGCTTCTCCCTCAAAGGCAGCATGAAACCATGCAACAAAAATAAAAGGATGTCTTACAGTTTTTGGTGTAAGGTCTTATAAAAGTCTCTGAAATGGTAGGACACTGATGAAAGAAATTGAAGAAGATACAAATAAATGGAAAGATATTCTGTGCTCACGGATTGGAAGAATACTGTTAAAATGTCCATACTACCTACAGATACAATGCAATCCCTATCAAAATTCCAATGACATATTTTTCAGAGAACTAGAACAAATGATTCTAAAAATTGTGCAGAACCACAGAAGACCTCGAATAGTCAAAACATTCTTGAGAAAGAAAAACAAAGCTGGAGACATCACACTCCCTGGTTTCAAACTATATTACAAAGCTATAGTAATCAAAACAGTATGGTATTGGCATAAAAACAGATACACTGATCAATGGAACAGAATAGAAAGCCCAGAAATAAACCCACACATGTATGGACAATTAATTTACAGCAGAAGAGGCAAGAATAACCAATGGAGAAAGAAAATTCTCTTTAATAAACACTGTTGGGAAAACCAGACCACTGTTTTATACTATATACAAAAATCAACTCAAATGGTTTAAAGACTTGAATGTAAGACCTGAACCATAAGACTCCTAGAAGAAAACATAGGCAGGAAGCAATTGGTCTTGGCAATTTTTTTGGATCTGCCTCCAAAGGCAAGGGAAACAAATACAAAAATAAACAAATGGGACTCGGCCCAACTATAAAGCTTCAGCTCAGTGAAGAAATCATCGACAAAATGAAAAGGTAACCTACTAAATGGGAGAAAATATTTGCAAATGATATGTCTGATAAGGGGTTCATACCCAAAGTGTATAAAAAACTGATACCACTTAAGAACAAGAAAATAAAAAATCCAATTAAAAAGTGGGCAGAAAATCTGAAGACATTTTTCTAGAGAAGATGTAGAGATGACCAACAGGCACATGAAAAGATGCTTGACATCACTAATTATTAGGGAAATGCAATCAAACCCACAATGAGATATCACCTTACAGCTGTCAGAATGGTTATTATCAAAAAGACATAATGGTGCCTCTATCTTTTTTAGTTAGTATTTTCATTTTCTTTGTATAGATACTGAGTTGTGGAATTGCTGGATCATGTGGTATAACTCTATTTTTTGAGGAACCTCCATACTGTTTTTGCCTATTTGCCTTTTTTTGGTGAGAACATTTAAGTTTTATTCTTTTAGCAAGTTTCAATTATATGATACAGTGTTATCAACTACAATCCCCATGTTATACATCAGAACTTATTCATCTTGTAACTAAAATCTGTACCCTTTCAAAAACTTCTCCCTATTTCTCCCACCCTCAGCTCTGGTAATCACTTTTCTGCTCTCAGTTTCTATGATATTGATTTTTTTTTTTTTTTTGGCTCCACCATGCAGTATTTGTCTATGTCTGCCTTCTTTCTTTCTTTTTTTAAAAGATTTTATTTATTTATTTGATAGAGATAG